AAAATAAAATTAAAAAACATCATAAAGAAATATCCCAGCTCGGAGCTGATGGCTGGGATGCATGGGATATGAGGATACTTCTACTGGTGGTAAGGTTGGTAGGCAGTGCGCGAAGCTGACGTTGGCTTACCGCTGCCAAAATGACAAATGTATTTAATTACTGGACAATTAGGTCGAAATTAGATTGTCGAGCTGAATTAACGTTTAGTGACATGACTTCCAGGCCGACGGGAGACAGCGAGACCGAGGAGTTAGAGCGCACGAAGGTCGCAGTGCTGCAGAGGATGCAGAGCTTTGTGACCGGCATAGAAAGCGGCGCGAGCGAACTGCGTGCGGTCGCTTCTATGGTCATTGTGATCTCGGTTCTGGCATTTATATAAAATAAATGTGTTGAGGTGATAAGGTTGTGTTTTGAGTGGCTTGATATTTTGAAATAAATAACGTGTGTTTTGTGTAGCACTTTCTATGACACTGACAAATATATTTGTGATTTAAAATAATAGAAATATGACAGTGATTAGCCGTAACGCTTTACATACTAGGAGTGTTAATATAATATTATCTACATATTAATACGTGAAGCAAAAATTTTGTATCCCTTTTTACAAAAATTGTAGGGACGGATGAGTATGAAATTTTCCACACTTATAGATAATATAGAGAAGAAGTGCACCATGGTAATTTTTTTTTTATATAATGCATAAAAGATACATTAAATCAATAATGAAAACGTTACACACACTACCATGTATTAGACACACACAGATATACTCTTTGTTTATTGTCAAACTGTTGTTATTGCTTAAAAGTCTGTATTCTAATTGAGAATAGGTTAGTATTGTTTATCTTTGATATTACGAGTATTTGTCTATAATTTAGTCTTGGTGAAATCTGTAACAATAGGACCATAATAATGTTGAAACTTATAATTTCAATTAATTATAGTCGAATTTTGACTAGTGCGAGACCACTAGTACAAATAAACCGAACAAAATGCTTAATGAGATGAACCGTTCATATTTGAGATTAGTTTCCGTGCGTTACCATGGGTCTCTGCTAGACAGAGCCACAACAAATAAAGTTGTCGATGTTCTCATCAGCATTACTAATTCTTTAACGCCATTGAAAGCCAATTTTTTTATGAAAAATAATCTCCAATTGTAAATTTTTTTTAATCTAAAGTTTCTACCTTGTTCTCGGACGATGTAATTATTGGCCCTAATTCAATTAAATAGTACAGTCTGTGTACGCTGTTTACGACTTATGTCAGTTTTGGGTCTTGTTTATAACCTCAAAACACTTTTCTAATTTCAACTCAAAGCGTGAGGTAGCCATGTCCAGAATACTTTTTTTTTTTTTTATGATTGAGAGATTACTGGTGGCCCGAAGGCCTTTCCAGTTTCACCAGGACAGGTGGGCGAGCAAAGGCTCAGCCAGGAGGGGTGGGATTTGCTAACAGCTGCCCGAGCGCCTCCGAAGGAGACCTAACAACTCAAGAGCAATTGCTTCGCGAATGAATCTACTACCGGATCGGAATCGCGACCCGCTGAGNAAAAAAAAAAAAAAAAAAAAAAAAAAAAAAAAAAAAAAAAAAAAAAAAAAAAAAAAAAAAGGCATGGCGGACGCTGCGGTGTACGACGCGGGAGCGACGAGCACGGCGGAATCCGCGAGAGGGCTCACGGCGTGATCGGCATTGAAAGCCAGAAACTCAGAAGTGAGCTTAGGGTGGCGAAGTCGGAGGAATTCTGTAAATAAAGCTTCCATGATGTCTGACCCAGGTGGGGCTGTCCCGGGTCTTAAATACACTCGCCTTGCGGCGAGGCCCCAACTTCTCGGTACTTAGCGGTTCGATTGAACACAGGTGGCGATGCGGCACAATTACTGCAGGAAAAAGAAAGAACAAAAAAAAAGGAAACAACAAAAATAAACCAAAACAAAACAAACACTTCCAGGAACACACTTTGTCGGCAGATATGCCACGAACAAAAGCCGGGTGAACAAAGGCCGGGCTAACAATAAAACCAGGCGAACAATGGCCGGGCGATTGAGTGGTCGATGAGCACGTCCGCAGGCGGCGGGTGCTTCTGTCGGACTGCGTCCAGAATACTATAAGACTTGCTATCGTATCTGTCAATATGGTGTATAAACCGATGCTGTACTACCTCGTAGAAAACTTTATTTCGCCCCACCTCATCATGTTTCATTCATCCCAGTCATAGTCTCAAATAAATCAGCTTCTCTTCAGTGCATCCATATCATTTCTCGGTCCATATTACTTTTCATATTAGGTTACCTTTGCCTTTCCTGTTGGACCATAGATAAGACATATTTGTATATCTTGTACAAACGCAACCATAGATAATACACTTATCATGAATGAAACTGCTAGGACTTTTTTGCGGGAACGCGAAAAGTGGAGTTGTGTGAATGTGTCTATTTTATGTTTCTTCAAAGTTAAACTTGTAATAACGGTGGTTTGTTAACTGTTTCTCAACGCTACCTGTTATTATATCCATTGCAAGGTGCCATTGAGAGAAATTTGTTCCTTTTTTTGGTGTTTCTTGTACATTATCTGGTTTTGGTTATTTATATTTTATATTTTCATTTAGGTACCAAAAGTTAAAATAATTACAACGATTATTTAAAAAAATGTTAAGAAAGTTTCAGTTAAATGGTCTATATTTTCAAAATAAATATTAAAATGGAAATTTCTGTTTTTTTTTTATTAATGGCTGATATCGAAAAGACACCCACTATTGGCGACACCCACAACGTGGTGTGACTGAGATTAACTAGTTTTTTATTAACTTTGAGTTTTAGCATTTAGTATGCCGGAACACAGATCCGCGCTGAATCGACTCCACGTGATTTTTTCAATGTTTCTTTAGTATTTACCATCGATATATTACCACTAGATAACGCATCACATACAAAAACCAAACACAAATATGGCATCGACTAACTGATCTGACTACACCATCAAGTGGAGAAAAACGATGTATAATATAATAATTGTAACCTAAACTATGCCTTTTCCCCAATCAATAAAGTGCAGTTTAGATTATTTTAACATTCACTTACGACCTTACGCCATAAATGACAGAAAAAGATAGTTTTTTACAATAACTTTTATTCTAAATTTAACCTTATATCCTTAAAAATTAAGCAAAAATTTACACGCATAGCATTTTACTTACGCCCTTTTAAACTTACGATATTAAGACTACTGCTCCGAACAGAGTATTACGGAGTCGCACTTTATACTTTTTTTATAAGAATATTTTGAGTAATTTATTTTTTATTATGTTTTTTTAATTCATATTCATTCAATTTTTTCAATTTAATTCCTTATGATTAACAACAAATATTGTATAACTATAGATAATTATACCTGAGTAAGCTATATTGTACCTTGCACATCGGTGGGGAAAATGGATAAGAGCTTTTTAAATCACAACAACATAATCCCCATCAAATTGTTTTATTTATTAAATACATGTCAGATTCGGTAAAATGGTCTGCACAAACCACACTGGAGCAATTAGGTTTGAAATAATTGTCGCTTCTTTTTTCTTTTATTACTCTGTTATTAAATCTGTAAAAATGTAAAAACAAATTCCAGTTTACAGATTTCACTTCGCCGTCCGTTGTACAGACGTCTGTTGCATTCGTATCTGATCTAGCGATACACGGGGTGTTCGAATCCCAGGCGGGTACCAATTTTTCTAATGAAATACGTACTTAACAAATGTTCACAATTGACTTCCACGGTGAACGAATAACATCGTGTAATAAAAATCAAACCCGCAAAATAATTTGCGTAATTACTGGTTGTAGGACCTCTTGTGAGTCCGCACGAGTAGGTACCACCACCCCACCTATTTCTGCCGTGAAGCAGTAATGCGTTTCGGTTTGAAGGGTGGGGCAGCCGTTGTAACTATACTTGAGACCTTAGAAGTTATATCTCAAGGTGGGTGGCGCAAATGCGCAAATGGCAGCGTAAATACGCTGTAGATGTCTATGGGCTCCAGTATAACCACTTAACTCCAGGTGGGCTGTGAGCTCGTCCACCCATCTAAGCAATAAAAATAATAAAAAAATAAAAAATTATGTGACTCCACTACACTTGTTCTGAAATAGCCCTATTTCATCTTTGTCTTGCATGTAACCGTTATTATGTGTGCGAAAGAAATAACTGCGAAGCAAAATAATAGGATTTAATTTTTTGAATTACTAATTTGGTAAGAATAACTGATTTATTTCAAATATTTATCACTATCTGTTAATAAAAATTATAAAACTTACCAAAAATACTAAATTTCATGTTGTTTTCTCTTTATAAGCGTGTTTTTTACATATTTTTACAGCGCATTTTAGGATCGTTCCACTCGACGGTCGGCGTGACACTGACGGCAAAACAGTGCTTAATATGAATCTAAGCACTGTTTTGTTTGGTTACTTTTGACGCCTTTACGCGGGATCTAGTGGTAATATATCGATGGTATTTACATACAGATAAGGTTGAAAATCAAACAAAGGAGTTCATATTGAGTGAAGTTATCTTCTAATTCGACCAAACAAATCATTTTCGTTTCAAATTCGTGTGAAGTTTTTTTTATTGCTTTGATGGGTGGACGAGCTCACAGCCCACCTGGTGTTAAGTGGTTACTGGAGCCCATACACATCTACAACGTAAATGCGCCACCCACCTTGAGATATAAGTTTTAAGGTCTCAGTATTCAGTTACAACGGCTGCCCCACCCTTCAAACCGAAACGCATTACTGCTTCACGGCAGAAATAGGTGGGGCGGTGGTACCTACCCGTGCGGACTCACAAGAGGTCCTACTACCAGAATTTTAACGCGTCAACTAAAATTAATGTTAACTACTATAAACAATTTCCTCATAAAGTGTTTTTATTTATTTGCTTGTAGCACAGTCCCGGGTCGACCTGGGTTGGCGGCTCGATCGACGCTCGCATTTGAAATAAAACTCGCATAATTTCGTAATAATTATAATGACGATATAACACAGGCGCGCCACACGCGGGCCGCTCACATACAGACTTACGTATGGAATCATTTATTTATTTATTACATATAACAATAAGATAAAGCTAAATAAACAATATATCATTTTATTACAAAATATACATTTTTCGTATTCGATAGCGGTTAACATTATTTACGACAGTAATGCTGGAAAGCGCCCGGATGTTGCCCGGATGCTGGCCGGACGCTGGCCGGACCGGTGCGGGCCCGTGACGTCACGTCCGTCCAGTCCCGCGGGGCCCGTGCCTCGTCGAGTTCCGATTTTGGTTTAGTTTTTACGTATTTTATTGAGATGAGAGATCACCCTCCGTTGCTCGCCTGCTCCTGGGAGAATATATACATTTGCTGTTAGCACTTGTGGGCGGAGACGAATAAAGCCAGGAAATAGGTACAATAGATTTTAGTCAAATTTAAACTATAACACAATTGGTATTAATTTTAAATATTAATTATTCAAATTTTAATTGACAATTAAATAAAATTATTAAATTAAAAATCTATTCATATCGAACACTAATCACAACGCATGTTTTTATATGTTTCATGCTTCTATGCTTAGCTCGTACGTTTGGCCCCAAATGACGTCATATGCAGTGAAAGCGTGTCAAATGGGGTTTCAGAGTTTGAGTGGCCGTCTAAAAAAACTTAGTTTAATATTTTAATTTTAAATTTCAATGGTATCTTTAGGCTATGAATTATTTAGTACGTCTAGTTGCGATGCACTGACCGGTGTCGCCGCCCCGGGCGCCGCGCCCGTGTCGGCGGTCGCGTCCGGCGCCGCTTGTTCTGGAAACATAAAATCATTATATCAATGAACAATAATATTGTTACGCCATCTGTCGCCGAATAGCCGAAACGAATATCGAAAATTTTGGTAGCATTTAGAACACTCGAGAAGTACAACACCATCTATTGTCAAATAGCGGAAAGACAAGTCGAAAATTTTCGACTTATGGGGAATGTTCTCGATAATTCTAGAGATATCGTATCGACTATAAAGGCGATATAGAGATGGCACGCAGTCAGTCAATAATCGGAACTACTCGAAGCGAAACAAGCGAATTGAGAATTGAGAATTTCAAAGTGTTCGTTAAGTGTTCTAAGTATTGAATACAGTTTTAATTTATACTTTGGTAAAATTTTTATTTATCCTGAATTCCTAGCGCGTAATAATATTTCTACATTAGTCGGATATCTATATAGCCGTGTATATAGGGTGGGGTGCGTACGTGCTCGCAGGGCGCGGTGCGCGAGGCGGTGGTTGGTCTCGCTGAGCACGGCGAGGTGCTCCCGCAGGCGCGGCGGCGCGGCGGCGGGCGCGGTGCACGCCACCAGCAGCCGCCGCGCCGCGTCCTGCAGCCCCAGGGCCGCACCGGCCACGCGACACGCCAGCTCCTGCGCCGTCACCTCGCCTTCTGTCCAGAGATATACTCCTCGTTATCGATACACACAATAGAAATAGTTATTCAATACGAATAAGAGATTGTATAGGTACAAATCTAAATCTCCTCCAGCCAAACCTACAGCGACCAAACTATACGTTACAAGATGTCCGAAAATCAATTCAAATTAATAATTTTACATAACGTTACAGCGACAACATACATGACAACCGCTCAGCCGTTCCACATGTACATATAACACGCGCTTACATACTCACAGGAGCGTGCCGCGGACAGGTGGGATAGAATAGTCCAGTTGGTCGATGTATTTTCACCATAGTTATAGTTGAGCCAAAATAAAACTGAATGTTCAAAATATCGTAGTTAAGAGAGACATGGCACTGACCGTAGCTGTCGTCCAGGGCGCCGCCCTCCCCGGCGTCGGGGGGCGGGGCTCCGGCGGCGCAGGGCGCGCACGTGCCCCCCGCCCCGCGCCGCTCCGCGCCCTCAGCCCCCGCCCCGCCCTCGGGCGACAGCGGCGCTAGTGGAACTACGCGACAGAAACAGCAGAATAAATATGAGGGTTTGATTAGTGGAGCCCGCGGACAACGTACACATCGCCGAGCCTCTAAACATGTGAGGCCGAGATCACAATTGCTTGTGTGAGGGCTGTTCCACCTTTCTAACCGCAACATATTTCGCAACAAAAATTGGCAGGACGGTGGTCCGTGCGGGCTCACTAAACGTTCTATTATCAGTAAGAAGCTATTAATTTGAAATAATTGAATTGTCTACGGTTCATAAATTTAATTAATTAAACTTTAATTTAATTAATTAAACAAGTTCTAAAATTTCGAATGTGTCTGAGACGCGTCAGTTGTCACGGTATTTTACGGTAGGTAGCGACTCGGTTCTGCCCCTGGCATTACTAAAGAAGATAGCCACTCACAATTAATGAACCGTATTGCTCGTCTGCCTACAAAGGCAATAAAAAAAATATATAAAGAAGTCAGCTAGTATAAACGTATAAGCAAACAATTACTCAGGTCGTCGGCGGCGAGGTGCCTGGCGGCGCGGGGCGGGCGGGCGCGCGCCAGCACGGCGGCGGGCTCGGACGCGCGCAGGCCGCGCCGCACGCACGACAGGATCTCGTCCGCTGCGGACAACACGCACGTCAGTACACACGCACCCAGCGAGGCGCCCCCTCCCCCTTCCCCTCCCCCTCCCCCTCCCGCGACACTCACCCTGCGCGAACGTCGCCAGCAGCAGCTGGTGCACGTCCGGCTCCGCCCTGTCGCCCTCCTCCTCCACGCTGTCGGAGCGGGAGAGCCGGTCGCCCGTCGAACGCAGCTCCTGGTCTATGTCTGTCGAGTGAACAACGGGCGGTCAGGCTCCGTAATGTAACCTACTACGCTACTACGCTACTACGCTACTACGTCAGAGCGGGCGCGCTCCAGAGGGAGCCTGGTGTGTTAGTAATGTTTTGGTGGTTTTTACTGGTGGTCGGACCTCTTATGAGTCCGCACGGGTAGGTACCACCGCCCCACCTGTTTCTGCCGTGAAGCGGTAATGCATTTTGGCTTGAAGGGTGGGGCAGCCGTTGTAACTATACTGAGACCTTATAACTTATATCTCAAGATAGGTGGCGCATTTACATTGTAAATATCTATGGGCTCCGGTAACCACTTAACACCAGGTTGGCTGTGAGATCGTCCACCCATCTAAGCAATAAAAAATAAATAAAAGATGTCGTGTACACACCGACGGTCCCCAGCGTGTCGGCCACGCACAGCTCGGCCAGCTGCTCGTAGTCGCGGCGCGGCACGCCCAGCATGTCGGCCACGATGTCGCGCTTGGCCAGCATCGCGCGCCGGATCTGCGAGTCCAGGCGCCGCAGGTACTCTGCAAGCAGGGCGCGCGGGTGAGCGGGGGCGGGGGGCGCGGGGGCGGGGGGCGCGGGCGGGGGGGCGTACCTTCCGGCGTGCAGACTGTGCGCGCGGTGTGCACGGGCGGCTCGCGCACGGCCAGCGCGGCGGGGCCCTGCAGGGGGGCGGGGGGCGCGCACACGTGCGTGCTGATGCAGCCCACCGTCGGCCGCCGCGGCCTGCACACGCACAGACAACTACTTCACCGGTGACCAATTTCAGTCAGAACAAAAAATACACAATATCAAAATGTCATAACTCCAGACACTGGGAGGGCGCAGTGGGACCTGCAGTTAGACAGCATCCTTTTATATTGAAACTTGTTGGTTGAGCACTGACGACACATATGAGTCAATTATAAAATCAATAAAAACTGTTCTGTCGTCATATTTCACATCATTTCGTTACCTCATGGGAATGTACACACATATGACGTCACCCACAGCCCACACTTGGGCGCGCCGCGAGGAGGATCAACTCACGTGTGCTTCTCCTCTCTGTCGGACACTTCCTCCTTGTCCAGGGAGCGCCTCTCCTCGAGTCTGGTGGGGGTGTTGTCGTCCCTCTCGCTCTCGGCGGGGCTCCGGTCGGCGGAGGTCCCGTCTCGCTCTGGCGGCGAGGGCTCGTCGGCGGGGAGGGGCGACTTCTCCGACGCGTCGGAGGGGTTGCGCGACACGCTGGCGCCTGGCGGATGACACGACACGTTAAGGGCGACCTTGTTAGTTCTGTAAGATTCTTAAAAGGACAAAATATGTTCAAAATATCTAAATTATATTTCTTTCCATATATTATGTAAGTAATTTAAAAAGCATAAATATTGTTGAAATAAATGGTGCACGAGAAAGAAGTGAAACTTCTATAGTGGTTTACATCATTCCTCAAATTTTAAATTAAATCTACGTCAAATCACATTTCCCTTGTAATAAGGAATGCTGTGTATAAGAGAAACGACCTAGCTCGCTTTGTCCTTTCCCTCTCTCCACGGTCGAGTGGTTCGCGAGATGACATCTATTCTCTCACTCTCGCTCGTCCTAAATTGTATCTTTTCTCTCTAGCCGTAACGAATTTGTCGCGAGTTAAATTTTACTCTCAACACGCCTAAAGAAGTTTCACTTCGAAAAATAAAATTATGCTGACTATACTTTTTGATGTCGGTAAATAAGTTTTTTAACATTGCGTCAGCGCATAAACCAGTAAGGTCGTTTTGTGACATACTGACCCGTGTCGTCGACGGAGCGGCTGGTCTGGTGGGAAGGCGTCAGGCTCGACTTCAACTCGGTCAGCTTTGCCAGCGGAGCCTCTTCTATGTGCTTGACCCAGCTGTTGAAACAAACGGAGCAATGTAACACAGGGGTCGGGTTGCGGGGAAGGCGAGGGCGAGGGGGCGACACTCACGCGGCGTACTCCTGCGCGCTGCTGGCGGAGAGCTCGTGCATCTGGACGCCGTTGATGTTCATGAGGAAGAACGTGTTCCTGACGGCCGCGTTGGGCCGGAACAGCACCTTGTCCCTGCGGGTGAGAGCACAGCTGAGTCACTGCGGGGGCGGGGGGGCATGGTGCGGGGGCTTGAGGCGGGGGTTGGGGGGAAGAGCCATACCACTTGACGAGCGGCGACAGCAGCTGGTGCTGCGCGCTGCTGGACTGCGGGATCGGCTTCAGCACGAACTTGTCGCCCTCCCGCTGCAGCAGGACCAAACTGTCTTCTAGCATCAACGCCTGGAATGTACCGATTTAATACGTCATTCTTTTATTTATAATTTAATTGCTAAAATTGCTGGAAGATCTCATGGCTCGTCTAGTGTTAAGTAGTCACCAGAGCCCATAGACAACCACGTTAATGCCACCACCCTCTTTGAAACATGAGTTCCGAGTCTCCAATTTATGCAGAATTTTTTTTAACACAATTACAGTGATTGAAAATTATAGTTGTATCTACTAATTCAATATATAATTAACATGGTAATCATTTTTTTAATAAGATAAGGAGCGTAGGGGGCTCCGTGAGTACGGGGGGCGCGGGTGTACAGCACTTGAGACAGCTTAGACAAAGAACGAACAAGAAAATTAGTGTTTATTTATATTAATTATAAGTCTATGTAGAAAAAATATTTAAGCTAAATTTAAAAGGCCTGTTTAAGTAATGAATGCATCTGACTTGCACCGACTGTCGGAGGAAGTGACCGCAACAATACCGTACCGGGGACCGCCCGGGGACCGATCCTGGGGGCAGGTACAGGACGCTGAGCCCTGACAACCTTCAGACGCCTAGTCAGTGCAATCATCGAGTAGGATAATGGAAGTAAATATTGTATGAAGTTCAACTTCTGCACTAGTAACTCTAGAGAGGGGACCGTTCATAAATCTTAATAAAAAGTTGTCTCGGTGAAAAAAACACAAGTGTACGGTTTTCAGTGTGTGGGGCCTCACCAGCACGTGTATCTTCTTGGTGGAGTCTCCTCGGATGGCCAGGTCTCCCTCGAGGCGGAGGGCGCGCTGCGTGAGGTCGAGCCGGCGCAGCTCCTCCCACTCGCCGCCGGCCGGCACGCGGACCTCCAGCTTCTGCTGGATGCTGCGCAACCTGCAACACGCTCGGCGCTCACTCGCAGGTTCGGCNGGGGGGGGGGGGCGCACCTGTGCTCGTTCTCTGCGGTGCGCACGGCGGTGTCGACTCCGTGCAGCACGTCCTTGGCGACGGCGAGCGCGCGCCGCAGCCGCCCCACGTCCTCCGCGCTCTCCTCGTCGCCCTCCGATACCGTCTTCAGGATGTTCTCCAGCAGCAGCTGGTACTTTGTCAGCCTGTGGACGGACAACGCTCAACTGTACTGTGGACTCATCAACAGCAGATCTCCTAGGTGAACTGGTGTGGGACAGGCGGCACTGACCTCTGCCACACACAGGCCAGCAGGTCCCTGAGCTGCAGGCGCCCGCAGAGCGGCAGCTGCTCCTTGCTGGACAGGAACTGGTGCAGCTCCTTGTTCTTCCGTCTCCGCTCCCGGAGCACGTCCAGCGCGAGGCGCTGTCCGCTGCAGAACCGGGACAGGCACGGGGCGTAGCCCGGATCGCCCAGCTGAACGAATTAATTGATAATAATAACTAAAATGACTGCTTTAAAAAACTATGACTTCCCTCCACCGGCGATAAAGCGACCAGCGACCCAAATTTACCGGTGGTAGGACCTCTTGTGAGTCCGCGCGGGTAGGTACCACCACCCTGCCTATTTCTGCCGTGAAGCAGTAATGCGTTTCGGTTTGAAGGGTGGGGCAGCCGTTGTATCTATACCTGAGACCTTAGAACTTATATCTCAAGGTGGGTGGCGCATTTACGTTGTAGATGTCTATGGGCTCCAGTAACCACTTAATACCAGGTGGGCTGTGTGCTCGTCTACCCATCTGAGCAATAAAAAAAAAACTAATTCCTTAATATTTTCACCATGAAATAGTAATTAATTTTGGTTTGAAAGATGGCCATTTCCAGCACGGGTACCACAGCAATGGTAAGCCCACTAGCGCCTGATGTCTGTGGTTTCCCGAAGGACTCGTGGGCGGACCGCCGAAGGAACAGTGATCATTATAATAGACTTGTTGAATTATTGAACTTTATGAAATACCCATAGAAGCATTTACTATTGTACCTAGTTGTGCCTTCCGACACACCACGCGAACCTCAGCGAATAAAGATCAAAAACACACAGTCCATAACCTGCAAGTAAGTTTATAATATCGATAAAGTTATTTTATTTCCCCCCATTCAATCGAACAGTAAATCCACGTACCGTCTCCAGAATAGCATCTGCTAATGGTCGGATGGTGACCAGCGGGTTGGCGGGCACCGCTCTGAGAGCTTTCAGCGAGCAGTAGAGCCGCTGGTGCCTCTCTCTCACGGCCGGTAAGTTTGGGAACAAAGCTCTCAGCTCGTCGGGGGGCAGTAAGCTCGGCTGCGCTTCTAGGCCGCGCAGGAACACGCCGCCCAGGACTTTGAGCCAGCGGACGTGGGAGCCCTCAGACACTATTAGCTCTGTGGAGGAGACGCGCACCCATTCATCACTAAACATTCCTTGACAAGCGACACATAGATTAGCTTTCATTGATTATACGTTAAGCTGCTTTCAGACTATGCTATAATATAATAGCTCATAACACAACAATATCGCAGACCATACATAGTTAAGGACACGTTCACACTACTGTACTATATATTATTGGCTAAGTATAGACTGCTATACTATATGGCACTATAGTATAGTGAAGTCTGAAAGCAGATTTAAACGTGATGGGAGATATTTTCACAGTTTCATTAGCATACAGCTATGTATTTGTATTTAATTTCATATCTGATCATGAAAAAATTATTGACATTTCATATCATATTAAATTGTATTGTGTTTAATATCTAATATAATAATTTCACGTAGAAACAAAAACTTTGTACCCCTTTTTACGAAAATTACGCGGACGGAGGAATATGAAATTTCTTACACTTATAGAGAATATAGAGGAGAAGTGCAGAATGCAAACATTTTTTTTTATTGTGCATTAAAAATACATTAAGTGAAAATAAAAACATTACACACACTACCATGTATTTTACACACACGCATGTTTTATATACTCTTTTTTTTATTGTAACAGTCAGTGATCTAATTGAGAATAGATTAAAATTGTTTGTCTTAATATTATTTGTCTATAGTGTAAAATTAAATTAATAAAATATAATAATATAAATTAGTAAAATAAAATTTATTTTCTATTTATTAGTTAGATTTTCTATAAAAGCGTATTTTGTTAGTTTTTTTAAACTATTATTTATTTTTCATTTTTTAATTAATTTTCAATGTTTTCAATATATTTTTTTAAATATTGAATTGTCATCGGTCCTTAATAAGTATGACAAATTTCAAGTTAATCCGACCTTTTGTAGGGTTTCAAAATCATGTTCAAAGATTCCGTTACAAACATACATACATACGTCTGAAGCTAATAAAAGCGTATTAAAAACTGTTCGCCGCGTTGGCACTATACAAGTAATGACGACCTGCGTCGAGAAATATTCATTAATAACTTGGTAGTAAAGAGTAGTTAGTGTGCACAACGCACCGTGTATGACCTCCTGCCGCTTGCGGAGCCTGGCGCTGAGGTCGAGCGCGTCCAGCACGTGGGGGGGCACGCTGTCCACCCACTGCGCGGCCAGCGGCTCGTCCTCCTCGGACCAGTCCGACTGTGTGGCTGCGGGACACAAAACAAACATTTATACATCTATTTTCTTATTTATTACATAGATGGGTGGACGATATCACACCTGGTGTTGAGTGGTTAGTGGAGCCCATAGACATCTACAACATAAATACCGCTACCCACCTTGAAATACGAGTTCTAAGGTCTCAGTATAGTTCCCCACGCTTCAAACCGAAACGCATTACTGCTTTACGGCCGAAATAGGCAGGGTGGTGGTACCTACCCGTGCACCTCACAAGAGGTCCTACCACCAGTAATTACACAAATTATAATTTTGCGGGTTTGATTTTTATTATACGATGTTATTCCTTTCACCGTCGAAGTCAATCGTGAACATTTTGGTGCCCCCGCCTGAGATTCGAACGCCAGTACATCGCTCAACACGAATGCACCAGACGTCTTATCCTTTTTTAATATTATATTATTTACTACAATTTATAACGTAGGGAAATTTCTGCAGAAGCTACATGTCTTCGTAAAACTTAATCAAAGTCTACATGATGGGGCTGCCGTGGGGCGAGGCCCAACCACGATCGTGCGTCACAAATAAGCGCTAAAACGCAACTTTCCTAACCAGCATCGACCTCTACGTTCTTTAAGTGAGAGAGGAGATTGTAGGGAGTGAACATATTGAATTATTTTGAAGCAGTCGCGAGTTGGAGTTATTAACCAACGGTTTCCAAATTATCGTTGTCACCAAGCTGGATAGCATTTGAGAAGCGCTGGCTGCTCACCTTGTTGTTCGGCGACGACGGTGTTGCTCTCATTGCTCCGGGATGATAAGCTCGAGCTGCTCGAGCTGCCGGAGGGGGCCGTCGGCGCCCCGGGCTCCAAATCACTGCAAGCGGAGGAGGTTTTTTTTTATTTTTTTATTGCTTAGATGGGTGGACGAGCTCACAGCCCACCTGATATTAAGTGGTTACTGAGCCCATAGACATCTACAGCGTAAATGCGCCACCCATCTTGAGACATAAGTTCTAAAAGATCTCAAGTACCCGGAACCGCGTGGTACGCTTACATGGAACATTCTAGTCCTATCCTTTCGATCGTTGTTGTAAGTAAATGTAGACTCGCTTGACGCTTCCTTTTCTGATTTAGCAATTTCCACAAAAAAATCTATCAACGAAAATATATTTAGATCGCTTAGTTTGTTCAATAATACATAATTCCTATGACAATAAAAACTTCTTTTTTTTTCAGTTAAGAACGTTGCAAAAGATTTGTCTAAAAACTACTATAGACTGTTATCCTGTTTAATTTTCCTAATTCGATTGTAATTGAAGGCTAACACTTTACCGCAAGCCTCGTTACACTGATGTACAGTGCTGTCGATAAGCAGATTTGATCAGAGCTCATCGGGGCGGTGTGCTCTACACGCGATGATAGTAAAGCTGTTTTCTGTTATGTAGGCTTAGTGCGAGTTTTTTAACGTGCTCGATAGCGTACGAGTTAGCCCAACTTTGTATGCAATCGGAACAGCGCCCCTAGCGCCAAATCAAATCAAATCAATTTGTATTCAACATAAATGAAAGTACATACTTGTTGAACGTCAAAAGAACTACCGCCAATTCATAAAAACTAGCCTCCGTCCTGAGAAGAATTGGCAAGAAACTCAGCGGGCATGTCTTTTTTTTTTTTAATATTAGATTATTTTTTTTAAATTAGATTTTTTTTAAATATTCATTTTTACAATTAGTATTATAACGCAACAATTATTACAATATTGAAATGCCCGGAGCGAGCCACTCATTCCCACTTTGTGCAATCTTCTAGATAATCATTGACTTTATAGTAAGTAGTAGTAGTAGTTGTAAACGTAGGCAAACGATCCCATTCCATACAAATATGAGCTAACTTTTACGCTATCGAGAACGTTATAAAGCTCGCACTAAGCACAGTGTTATCGTATGTAGTGAGTGAGAGCAGCGGCCACCCAAGTGAAATCACAGAGGAAACTCAATCACAAACAGATTGAAATTAGCTAATCCCGTCCGGAGTTAGAAACATTTCACTAATTGAGTTACGTGTTTAGATTACGTCAGAAGCTTTTTGCTGCGCATTGGACGGAGCGAAGATATTTCAGGTACGCATCAGACGACGCTTCCACGAAGTGCTTCAAATAATATAATCCAATCCTAATTTTCCACGCTATTCGGTCGTTGTTCGAGCATTGGTCAAACAACGTTTTCTGTGGTTCTAGACACACTATAGAATAAAAGGCAGGTAGGAAATTGTTTTTTTTTTTTTTAACCTATGCTGATAGCCTTAGGGGCTAATTCAGCGTAACCGTGGCTAGTAGGTGAATTCACGGGGCTCAAACATGATGGGAAATTGCGAAAAATCTCACGAAAATTTGAGAATAAACATGGTGCATTGACTTTATCTGAAGCTCGTGGAACGTGGAGGAGAAGAGTTCTGTATTCTCCCTGCCCCAACCGGAGTAAAGGTTCGCTCATTTTAAATACAACCAGCCGTACTCGCCTGCTTCGCTGGGCATTTAAAATTAACATTATTATTTATTGTCATTATTATTAGGAAGTCCAACACTCATATAAATATTAGCTTATCCATTAAGTACATGTATTTTCTACATGGATACCAAGTTTCAAGTCAATCGGACGCACGGTTCAGTAGTTATAACGGAACATCCGTAAAAACCACTGTGGATTTATATATTAGTATAGATCAGTCGAGTTACAAAGACGGACATAAGTAGCTATTGATCGTATATAAAGCCAATGTTGATGAAATCCCGAGAAAGATACTATAAATTAATTAAACGACCTATGTAGGTTTCAGTGGAATCAGCGTGGCCTCCGCGTCAATCGGCAACAAATTATTATCAAAAGAACTTTGATAGGTTTCTCTACTGCGTTGTATAACTATAACTAGATGATGATTTTTTTAATAACGCCATCTTGTTGTGTCTTTAAAGCGGTCAGTTGCCCTCAATTAAGAGAAATAGTATTATTATTCGCCAATAGATGTCGGGAAGAGTTGATTATTGAAAACACGAATAAAACAACATTTTCTGAAAATAAATCGTAGCTAGATCGATTTATCGCCCCCGAAATCCCCTGTATACTAAATTTTATGGAAATCGTTGGAGCCGTTTCCGAGATTCATATTATATATATATTAATATACAAGAATTGCTCGTTTAAAGGTATAAGATATTCGTTTTCTTATTTAAATAAATAGGTACATACCCGACATACGAACTTAAAAGCCTTCCGCCATACAATTACGTCACGGAGGTTACATAGAACAATGACATTAAACACGTTAAAGACAATTAAACTATTATCTACCCACACGCTTGTACAGTGCGAAGTAATCGCAATGAGAAATTAAATTTGCATTACTTTATTAATCACCTTGACATGTACAACGTATTAAATTAAAAATAGGAGCATCTAATTCAATTTTAACTTATAATAATTGTCGTTTCATAAGTAATTCTTTGAAATTGTTATTCTATTGTATTTTATGTAGATTATGTTGGCTGCGTTGACGGGCCGCGTGCATTATTCTTATGCATAGCTACTCAGAAGCAATTACTGAGCAATTTGCGACAACACAGCTGTGTCTTTCGCTCCGGTAGCAAAAGGATAGCTTATGAGCATCACGCAGCAACCAATGCTGTCCGTATGTTCATTAACAATATCCATAGCGTACGCATCGCAACAGTGGTCGTTATCTGTCGGCCGGGCTGCATACCGGGCCAAGAGATAACCAAGCGTTTCGTTTTATCTCCAACTTGCTTTATCAACAAAACTATATTATTTTGACGCTCCGTTTATGAGAGATCACGCTTTTTAATAAATAATAGTTTAAAAAACTAACAAAATACGCTTTTATTGAAAATCCAACAAAAAAATTTAAAATAAATTTTAATAAATTTGAATTCAAAATAGTGTAAGTTTATAGTAAAAAAAGCGTGGGGTGCATGGTATCAGTAGCTATAAATATTTTATGAACAGATATGAGTAGAAGGGTTATTTTGATAATATCCTGAAAAGCACCCCACGCTTTTTTGCAATAAAATCATTTTTTCTTACACTATTTTTAATTCAAATTTATTTTCTATTTTTTAGTTGAATTTCAATATTTTCAATTTTTTTTTGAATATTGAATTGTCATCGGTCCTTAATAAGTATACCAAATTTCGAGTTAATCTGGCGTTTTGAAACATGTTCTTCGACTAGTGAGCTTAGTGCGAGTTTTTGAACGTATCGATAACGTAAAAGTTAACTCAAATTTGTATACAGTTGGAACACCGTCCCTAACGCAAACGTAGGCAAACGTTCAAACTCCATACAAATTCGAGTTAACATTTACGCTATCGAGTACGTTAGAAAACTCGCACTAAACACGCATAATAATAAGAGAGTTTCATTAAATTATTGCATCGTCATCGACCCGTGATAACTGTATCGAGTTTCAATACTATAAGACGCTTTGAAGTCGGTGAAATGACTTTGTTGTGACGGTGAAAATAACTTTTACGCTATCGAGAACGTTAAAAAACTCGCACTGAGTACACAGTACAGAAAATCGATTAATAACGAGACGAAAATATTACAGAAACACAATTTTATATAATATACTGTACCTCTCAGACAGCGTCCTCCGGGCCAGCATACCGACGGCGGGCTGTCTTCCAGCCGGCAACGACACATTCCTAGACACTCTTGGCGGCGCGGTCGCCATCTTTGTTTACGTAATTCAACACTACACTGAGACACTTATATTCAAAGCACCATGTTCCTTGACGCGGCGATAAATTATGTATTGCTTATTGTTTTGAACTTCGGATAGGTAAGATTTTAGACGAATTTCTTCACAGATCTACATGACATGAAAATACAGAAACTATGGTTTGCGTTCTAACATAGCGCGCGTCATCTAGTATAATATTTCTCATAAATTTCTATTCAACTGTGTACTATAATTACAAGTTATTAACTTTATTAACCAATTAAAAGACAAAGGTCCAATCATTATAGATCAGCACAAGAGTACAATATATCATTGCCGTATGACCATATGAGACAACTCAACGTCCTCTATGTATTCAACGAATGCCCTAGAAGATATGTTAATCAAAGATACGTGCATCTAGAACTGCTAGTGTTGTTTAAAACCAGTTATTTTTCGATTCATTCTTTTTTATCAATGTTCTGACTGCAAATAAGCAGTAGGCAGCGGCTTGACTGTGCCCCTTGGATCGTTGATGTCCATGAACAACAGGGCCTATTTATCATGAACAGGGCCTTACTTATCATGAGCATGGCCGTACGCTTTGCATTGGAGGAACCCAAGTCAAAGATACACCAGCCGGCTAATTTCCACCACAAGAAGTACCCACACTAGAACAATCTACGTGTTCATTAACATTTTATTGTATCATTAAACCGTAAACAAACCCGATCAATACCAAGCAATTTAAGATTGATTTCGTGCTAGACAGAGAACGCGCTGATTTGTATAGTGACGTCAATGTTCCGGAATTTAATCAGCCCACTGAGTTTCTTGCCGAATCTTGTCAGTGGGTCGCATTTCCGACACGGTGGTAGATTCTGCGAAGCACTGCTCTTGCTAGGGCTAGTGTTGGCAAATTCTCTCAGGTTGAACCCGAGCTCACCTACCCGTCCGGGCGTATCGGAAATAGCCCCTTAGGCTACCAGCGAATAGGTGGGGGGAAAGGAATTTAGTCCCGTATCTTGATGGTCCCTCACTTGGACGCAACGCAGCCACAGCTTCAAGGCAATCGGATAAGCGCCATGTGGGACAACAACAACACACAAAAAACTTATTATTTTGGAAATTCCATTA